TCTTCGTTATTATTTTACTCTTAATTTTGTATGGTTAAATTGAGAATGTACACCTTATATTGTCAACATAAACATTTATCTCCGAAAATAAGTAGAAAAATATCCATTTGCCACTGCATTTTTCTGAAAAATTTGTCTCAATACTTTTGTATATTTTCATATGGCTCCTTAAAATTGAGCTCCTCACTCTGACACTTGCTATGTTTCTGTAGGCTTCCCAATTCCAGACATTTATACTGACACCAGCTCCCCACTCTACGACCAGTACAGAAACGCCGACCACCAGCCGCCGGTTCTGGTGGACCTCAGCTACGGTGGGAAAGACGATGACGTGGACGAACAGACAAGAATAGACGAGAATCTGGCCATCATGTACCGTCAGATGGTTTCCGGTGCCAAAACCCCCGATCTGTTTTTCGGCCACGCGTACAGGGCCGGGAACCTAAACACGGGAAAATACCCCGGCACCATCGAGAACATGCCTCACAACAACATCCATATATGGGTCGGCGACCCAAGCCAGACCCACCAAGAGGACATGGGCAACTTCTACTCCGCCGGTCGTGATCCCCTGTTTTACGCCCACCATTGCAACGTGGACCGCATGTGGAACATCTGGAAAACCCTTGGAGGCAAGCGCAAGGACATCACCGACACCGATTGGCTCGACGCCGAGTTTCTGTTCTACGACGAGAATGCTGAGCTTGTGAACTGTAAAGTTCGGGACAGCCTCGAACCAGAGAAGCAGCTTCGATATAATTACGAACCTGTGAGTCTTCCGTGGCTGTTCACAAAACCAACCGCTCGTAAAACGAAGAACAAGACGAAAGCTAAGGTGGCTGCGACGCAGCTGACGTCGAAGTTCCCGGCCACGTTGGTTGAGGTGACGACGGTTGAGGTGGCGAGGCCGAAGCCGAGGAAGAGGAGCAAGAAGGAGAAGGTTGATGAGGAGGAGCTGCTGATCATCAAGGACATTGAGTTCGAGGGTACCGAGGCGGTGAAGTTTGATGTGTTTATTAACGACGACGCTGAGTCGCTGAGTCGGAGGGACAAGTCCGAGTTTGCTGGGAGCTTCGTGCACGTGCCACAAGGGAAGACGACGAAGGCGAAGACGAAGACGAACCTGAAATTGGGGATAACGGACTTGTTGGAGGACTTGGGAGCGGAGGATGACAGCAGTGTGCTGGTGACTTTGGTGCCTAGGGTTTCGAACTCGCCGATCACCATTGGTGGGTTCAAGATCGAGTATTCTTCTTGATCTCAATTAAGTATCGTGGCCCTTAATGAATCAATAAAGTGGGTTCTTGTGTTAATGTAATAATGTCTGTGCGGAATTGATGGCCTGCGTTGCCCCGCTTTTAGTTCATCTGATTTTCTATCAGTGTTTGGATTATGGAGCCATGCAATTACATAAGCTGGCCTTTCCATGTAATTAATATTCCACCGTTTACGTGGATGGAATATGGATGTTGTCTACTTGTTCATCAATAAAGCCACGTTGTTTGGATTGATGCCATTCTTACTGATGTTGATGAAGAAAACTGTACATGTGGTTCGTAGTTAATGACCTACTTAATTAAAGTTAAGTAAAGTAACCATTTTGGGGAACATTTTTGCTCACTACTTTAACCCAATGTGTACTCCCACTAACCTTCTCAAAATTTGACACATGTCTATAAATTAACCATAGTTACATTTTTACTTTATATTTTTCTAATCATTGTAGCTGCCCTCTGCCCTCGCTTGGGGTCTTTTGGGTTAAGATCTCAAATCCCATTTCAACAAGACATACCTCTCCACCTCTCTGCAAAACTTATGGGGCAGAAGATGGAACCTCGTGGTCACCTATATCTAACGCCCATCTGTATACATACCCAAAAGGTCAGGAGAAGAGGGGTTGCTGCCGGCTAGGTGCGGTGGTTGATGAGGTTGGAAGGATGGGATGGCTAACCACATTAGTTGGGTGGGTGGGTGTGTGGAGCTGTGGTGGCTGTTGTTGGGTTTTTATTTTTTCTTTAATAATTGATTTTTGTTTATTTAATTTATTAAAAGGATTTTCTTTCTCATGAAAATGTCATCAGAAAAATAAAAAGTAAAAAGTTAACTATGGTTATATCCATAGACATATGTCAATTTTTAAAAAGGGTGATAAGGGTACACATTGGGTTAACGTTGTAAGCAAAAATGCTACGAATTCAAAAGGAAAAGGAGAGGATCCTAACAAGATTTGGCATGAATGTTTTTTATCCCAAAAGTAATGGAATGCATGACTCATGATTGAGATGGTTAATTTCTTCTAAGTTTCCCGTGGAACGTCTTGTTCTACTGTCACTGGCAGACCCGTAATTTTTTTTGCGGATGTGCAATTTTGAAAGGCTAAAAGCTTTATAAAAAAAATGACAACCTAATATGCTTATAATTTAAACAATACCAATATCATTCATAAGTCATAAAAAAAAAAAATTTAACATTACAATTAACCTACAATTGTTGCCGACAAGGTTTCATATCATAAAAACCTCAGACAAAAAAGAAGAAGAAGAATAAAGAATTGCTTAAACCCACGAAATGATTGCCTTGTTTAAAAAATTGTTATTTAAAGTTCACAGAAAGAATATTTGTTTAAAGCCCACAAAATGCAAGCCTTGTTGAAAGCCATGAATTTGGTTTCCTCCTTTCTTTTTTTGCCTGGCAAAAGGAGGTGCAGGTACACCTCCGCCATTGTATGCTGCCATGTGCAATACACTGCTTTTTTGATTTGTTTCTTCTATGTGTATGATTCTATTTGGCTTGTCTATGACTATCAGAGGGAGGACATTTAAAAATTCAAACTCCTTTTTTTTTGGGACAAATCAACCTAATGTTTTAGAAATACCTAATTTTATCAATTTCTCTATTTTTACTTTGTGTATAAATAACCTAACATTTATTTATAGTAACAAAATATATGCAACTTAAAAGAAATTTAGACAAGAAAATGAAAGAGAAAACAAAGAAAAGAGGGTGCATATAAGAATTTAAGTGGAATGTCATAATATTTGTACAATATTACTATAACTATTTTTCCATACACAACAAGACGATTCGCCATCAATTATTACAACTGTTACATGGAAATGACTAAGCAAAAGCTAGCATGACAATTATACGGAAATGACTAAGCAAAAGCTAGCATGACAAAACCACCTTTTTCTTTTTCAAGTCACTGCTCTGCATACCTTACGTACAAAAAGTTTTATATAAAAGTTGATATAGATTAATTTCCATTGAAAAGTTGGATTTAATCATTGAATTCGGTGATTTTGATACAAATTTTTTCACTTTTGTCCCACATAGGATTACATTCGTTTTTAAATATTTTATGATGTAATCTTTTTATTTTTATTTTTTTAAAATAATTTTTTGTTCTAATATTGCCCTTTACTCCTTGAATCAGGTTATAGTAATTTAAGTGATAATAATTAACCATTTATGATGTTTGTCATTGAATAGAAAAGGAAAATATCGTAAACATATCCCAAATTGAGTTCTTTCATCCTTGAAATAAACGAACACATTTTGTAGAGATACTGGTAGCCAAATGATCGTGGCTGAACTAAGAACCACACCGTTGGGTTGACCCGAATCCGTGCTCTTATGGATGGTGACTCACACTCCAACCTCATTCATCCCAGAAAGGGTGGTCCATCAATGGCCGTTGGATGTGCTAATGCTTGCACAGAAGTTGTTGACCATCCTTTGGGTAAGTTTCATCATGCTTCTCTTGCCTTCAGGCGATGGAATTACTGATTGTTCAAGTGTTTTTAGGGAAGCAAATTCAGTAGCACATCGTTTAGCACATGAGTTATATGTAACAATTTTTATTTTTGTTCACCTTATAGTAGAGGTATATCACATACTCTTGTGGATATATTATCCTATAGTTTAGTCATATTGTTCTATAGGTATAATATATGTTTTTAATATTTTCGACAACGTATAATAGTATTTTATGTACCCTTTTTTTTTGGAGGTAACATACATTTTTTGTTTGTCTATTTTTGTATCTAACTTATATGTAGTCTTCTAATTTATGTTCCTAACTTATAGGTAGTCTTTTAATTTATGCTCATGACTTATGGGTAACATGATTTATAACTAAGTTTTTTCCATTGCTAATAATAATACAACTTACCTGTATGTTAGGTACATAATTTCATGTGAGTGATTGCCTGAATAATTGGTACAATATGTGGGTTTTTACTTTCACTAATTCAATTGTATTTTATCCATATATTAGGTAAATATTATATAGGAAATAATTTAAAATCTGAAATTCAATTATGAGGAAATAATGCATTAAATTTAGATTTTCAATGTGTTTTCCTTATTTACCAAAATGGGTAAAGTGACACAACAAAAAAATAATAAAAGTCAAAGGAAATACATCTAAAACAAAAAAATGTGTGGACTAAACTCAATAACAGCGAATCGTTTTGAACCTAAATCTAAGAACCCAATATTTTAAGAGTTTTTATTGGAGGAACCCATTTCATTTGTCCAACAGACAACAAGCTCATTGGTCTAAGGGATTGCGATCTTCCGTGTGTTGAAAATTACGAATCGGCCAGCCCATTTCATTTTTAGAGATCATGACTAACTTTGTGAACAAGAATAAGCAAACGATATAAATCTCATTGGCAGCATTTATAGCATGGTGACTTTCTCCTACGTCATAATCTTTTTCTTCTCTTCCTTTTGTTTGTTTTCATTTCGTTTTATTGTCTTTATTAACACGACCTACACACTTTTCCCATCAAAGACAGAAACAAAAAAAAGAAAAACAATACACAAGACAAAGATCGTTACAGACAGACCAAGAGGTCCCAAATGCATGTGGTGTACTGGAATAGTAGCCATACATATTGAATTTCGTAATTGTCAAACATAAACTTAATTTCAAGTGGTGGTGGAGCTTCATGAAACTTTATCTAAATTTAAGCACTTACTTAGCTTGAACGTCAAGCAACAAATTCAATTCTGATGCTACCAATCGTGACAGTCTGCGCCCCAAACCTAGGCACCAAAGTCACCACGACACTCTCATCATCCTCAGCTTCCAAATCCTCCAACAAGTCCGTTAGCCCCAACCTCAAGCAACCCTTGCTCTTGTTCCTCTTCTCCTTATGCGTATGAGGCACGCTCACAAAACTCCCCGCGAACTCGCTCTTGTCCGGCCCACTCAGCACGTCATCATCATCGCCCACGTCATTCACGTACACGTCAAACTTAACAACCGCATTTTTCTCGTACTCAATCCCCTCAATCACTAATATCTCCTCTTCATCCTCCTTCTCTTTCTTGTTCCTCTTCTTCTGCCTCGGCCTGCTCACCACCGTGCTTATCTTGGACTCCAACTGTATCGGAAACTCACTACTCTTCACCAGCTTCCCCAACGACGTCGTTCCGGCAGCTTTTGCAACTCCGACAGCCTTGGCTTTTCTCTGCTGCTTTGTCCTACGTGGCGTTGGCCTAGACTTGAGCCACGGAATCTCGACATCTTCATAAACATATCCAAACTTCCTAATATCAAGACAATCCCTCACCTTAACCCTAACCAACTCCGCATTCTCATTATAAAACAAAAACCCACTATCCAACCAATCTCTGTCACTAAGATCTTTATTTTTGGGTCCTAAATTTTTCCAAATGCTCCACATCCGATCCACATTGGAGTGGTGAGCAAAAAATATAGGATCCCTCGCTGCCGAATAAAAATTCCCCATGTCCTCAAAATTTGGCTGGGTGTTATCTCCCGTCCATAAATGAACCGGCCCGTGCGGAACTGCCTCCACTGAACCGGCTCCGGGGTCCGCTTCAGTCCCAGCCCTATAAGGCCAGCCAAAGAACAAGAGCGGTTTCTTGGCGTTGGACACCATCTGCCTGTACATGATCTTGAGATTGGTGTTGACTCGAGCTTCTCTGTTGACTTTCTCGTCCGTGCCGTTGAAGTCGAGATCCACGAGTGTCGGCGGCTGGTGGGCGGCGGCTCGGAGCTCGTCGTAGAGGGGCGAGTCCGGGTTGGCGTACAAGGCAGGCAGTTGCATGCCGGCCGGCGCGTCCCAGTTCCAGAACGGCAAAGCGAACGTCGGGTCGTCGATGAGTTTGGCCAAGATTCTTTCGTAGAAGTATAGGTAGTAGCGGTGGAAGGGGAAGAAGAGCCAGCAGTTGTGGACTTGGATCTCGAGGTCTGGGAAGCCGACTTGGTCGTATGCGCCATTGCAATAGGCGCAGTGGACGTTGGCTTGCTGAGTAAAGTTGCGTGGATCGTCGTCAGGGAGGGCTTTCATGAGTGCAATGGCTTTGGAGTATTTGTCAATGTAGGATTGGTCGACGGTTTGAGCCGCCGGCCTAACGCGGAGCCGGGAGGGAGGGGGGAGCTTGAAGTCTATGATTTTGGGGTATGTGGGCGGGCAGCAATTGGTGGGTAATGCGCCGCTTGGTAAGTCTGCGGGTCCGCATTGGGTAAGGTCTGGGGGGGATATTGGGTTTGCAAAGGCGAAGGGGTCGGTGGGTAGACTGGACAGGCCACCGTATAGCCCTCCGAGGCCAATAAGGACATTTCTTCTTCTGTCTAGGTTTCCTGGAGGTGGTTGTTGATCATCGTTGCCTGTGGCTTTGCATGAGACTAGTCTAACTCTACGTGCAGAGGAATGTTTGGTTGTGTTTTTAAATGAAGGAATTTGGGGGCTTTTTTGGGAGAAGGGAAAGAGAGAAGTTGTGGGGAAGAGTGTGGTGGTGGTGGATAGAGAAGCCATTGACCAGGGTTATTAGCTCTCTCTGGTTCACTTGGGGCTTGGGGCTTGGTTTTATAATTGAATTGGTTTACTTTTCTTTGCATACTGCACGCCATACACTTTGGCTGCCCGATATGTGGTTGACGAAGAATAATGGAAAAGGACAGGAGAGAGAGTTGGGCTGAATTCAATGGATTGTAATCTGAATAAGAAAGAAGGTGAAGGGAGGTTTTGTGTAGTCACCAATTATTTGAGCAGGGATTGAACATAAATTTGACAGATTGTGCTTGTAGTAGCAAAATTTGCTTGTTTCACAATTTTTCAATTAATGACACACGTTGATTGGAGTGCTATCTGTCACTGTCTATTGCAATTTGCATGAATAGGATGGTTACCAGATTTCCAACCCAAAAAATAGCTTAATTACTGTCCGCAATTAGGGTCCCAAAAGCTAAAGCTTGGTCAGGTCGAGCTTGACTGGCCTGCAAAGAAGAAAGGAAGACCCAAGCCGGAACTTTGTCTGGCCCATGGCCAGTAAGTCGTATGTTATAATGGGCTTTCTTTTTTGCTTTTGACAAACGGGCTTTTAGCTAGTCTATTTTTGTTTATATATATTTATTAATATAAGCGATAGTCTAAATTACAAATGATGAAAATTTGAACCTGAAATCCTTGGACTAGACCCGTTGCGTTATATTTTATTTTATAGATGTGATAATTTCATAATCTACTTATGTCTAACCTTGGTGGATTATAGGCTTATTCTAAAATAGATAGGCTTGAATCTATCTTGCAATAAGCGACCCATCTCCATCGTTTATTGCAATAAAAATATATATAAATTAACTACAAGTTGGCAAAATCACATGCCAAGCCATAAATTAACTAAACAATTCGAATATTTCTAAACTTGTTTAGATGTTCATTAGAATAACTAAGTAATATCTTCTACTTTTTTCTTCTCATTATTCAAGAAATGATGGTCACCTCTTCAATACAGTATGTTTCACGTTTCAACTCATAAATAATTCATTAAGCTTGGAGGAATCGTTTTGTGTGTCCTACATACAGCTGACAATCTACTATTTTAATGGCGCTCCATAAATAATTATATTTTGTGCAATCACATAAATAATTTTTCCCATACAAAATTACTGACAATGACAAGAAACACTTATATGATAACTTTTTCATTGTGTTGCTACCCTGCGACTGACCAAAGTCCTTCACGTGCTGCTAGCCAACTAGTTCATACCACTTGCCTGAATTATTGACAACAACCACCGAAAAACAGTAGGGTGAATTTGATATTCCTTCATTCAAACCTCGGAACGAATTTGAAATTCAGATCAGATCCCATCAGTAAATTCTAGTGTCTCCTGCTGGAGAGCATACCACGATATGAATTCATAGACTGGAATAATTGGTCTGCCATAACGAATTATCTTTTGATTCCAAGCTTTTACTACCAACAAAACAAAAATTCATAAAATAAATTACAAATGCGTAACTACAGATACTAGATATCAAACATTTAGTATATAATTATTCCGACTTTACTTTATTTAAAATTATGGGTGTACTGTCTTATATATATATATTTTTTCTTCGTGCACATGTTTACACATGTATTTTCTTGGCTCTCTATATATATATATATATATATGTATCACTTCAATACAAAATAACTAAAGAACTAACTTCGCAAATATGAGTAGAAATATACTACATCATGTACTATATGACAATATTTAAGTATCAAATCCAGAATATTCATTAATGGTTGATTTTTGTGTGTGTGCATCTTGTAGATTGAGATTCTATTGTTGCACTGGCCTTGTGTCTTCATGAGAACGTGTTTAGGTTATGTGATTATATTTTTTCATTCAGACGATATTTTACTTTAATTTAATCTAAACTCACAGTATATATAGGTTTACAAGCGGAAATGGTAGGTTATATATAATATATAAGAGTCTTTTAATCCACATTATTACCCAAATGCTAGGGCGGAGAGATATCCCTAAGGAGCTAAACCTTTTTCTATTATGGTACGATTCAAGTTTTTCTTCACTGATAAATCAAACAAAAAGAATTGATATAAACTTAGAACATTGTCCAATTATAGAAATCTCACATTTATAATAATATAGCATTTCCCTCCCACTTGGTTGTATGCAAAACTCTTCATCACCTCAATTCGTTAGTTTCTCATCCTTGCAGTTTTGGAAATGCAAATTAAACATTATTTATTACATGCATAGATAGTAGTGGGATCCCCCACCACAACACAGCGGAATATTATAAAAGCAGCACAACTGATATCCATTCCTTTCCTACAAAGAAAAAGCAACCTAAGCTTTACCTACTATGGCTTCATCTTCCCTACCACCAACTGCTACACTTACTGGCCCTTACTCCACTAAAGCGCTTTCCTCCTCCTCCTCCATCACAACCTCTCGCTCTCCCTTCTTTCCATACAAGTCCCAAAAACCCAATAAGCAATGCTCTGTCTCTGTGGGTGGAGTCCGATGCCAAGCCACAAACGGTGACAATGATCACCTGGAGCAGGGTCTAGGAAAACTCGACAGAAGGAACATGCTCATTGGTCTAGGCGCCGGAGGGCTGTACGGGGCGGCAGGTCTTGAAAACAACCCGTTTGCTTTCGCTGCGCCCCTACCCGCCCCTGACTTTACCGAGTGCGGACCGGCGGACAAGCCCGATGGCTCTACCATTGACTGTTGCCCGCCCATCACCAAAACAATAATCGATTTCAAATTACCCGATCGGGGCCCACTCCGTACTAGGCGTCCGGCCCAGGACCTAGCAAAAGACCCAGTCTACTTGGCCAAGTTCAAAAAGGCCATCGCTCTCATGCGGGCCTTACCCGACGACGATCCTCGCAGCCTAGCCCAACAAGCCATGGTACACTGCTCCTACTGCGACGGTGGGTACCCGCAAGTCGGGTTCCCCGATCTGGAGATTCAAGTTCACTTCTGCTGGTTATTCTACCCGTTCCACCGCTGGTACCTCTACTTCTATGAGAAGATCATGGGCGAGCTCATTGGCGATCCCACCTTCGCCCTCCCCTTTTGGAATTGGGACGCACCAGCCGGCATGTACATTCCGGAGATCTTCACCGACCCCACCTCCTCCCTCTACGACCAGTACCGAAACGCAGCGCATCAGCCTCCGAAGCTCTTGGATCTCAATTACGGTGGGAGCGACGACGATGTGGACGACGCCACGCGAATCAAGGAGAATCTGACTACCATGTACCAACAAATGGTGTCCAAGGCCACTTCTCACCGCCTCTTTTACGGGGAGCCATACAGCGCCGGTGACGCCTCGAGTCCGGGAGCTGGAAATATCGAGAGTCTCCCGCATAACAATATCCATTTGTGGACGGGCGACCCGAAGCAGACTAACGGAGAGAATATGGGCGCCTTTTACTCTGCGGGTCGGGATCCTCTGTTTTACTCCCACCATTCGAACGTGGACCGCATGTGGTCCATATATAAAGACTTGTTGGGCGGTACGGACATAGATAAAGCTGATTGGCTGAACACCGAGTTCTTGTTCTACGACGAGAAAAAGAACCTCGTGCGTGTGAAGGTTGGGGACTCGCTCGACACCAGAAAGCTCGGGTACGTTTACGACAACAAAGTTCCGATCCCGTGGCTTAAGGCGAAGCCGAACCCTCGCAAATCGCAGAACAAGAGGAAGGCGGCGGTTTCGTCTGGCGATCTGACAACCACGTTCCCGGCAACGCTGTCTGACAAGATCAGTGTTGAGGTGGCGAGGCCGTCGACGACGAAGCGGACGAGTGAGCAGAAGAAGGCGCAAGATGAGGTGTTGGTGATCAAAGGGATTGAGTTTGCCGGGAACGAGCCGTTGAAGTTTGACGTGTTCGTGAACGATGATGCGGACTCGGAGGCCGGGAAGGACCAGTCGGAGTTTGCAGGGAGTTTCATCCACGTACCGCATAAGCAGGGGAAGAATATAAAGACAAACCTGCGGCTGAGCATTACGAAGTTGTTGGAGGAATTGGATGCGGAAACGGACACTAGTTTGGTGGTGACTTTGGTGCCGAAACTTGGGAAAGGGCCGATCACCATTGGTGGGTTCAGCATCGAGCTTCTTAACACCACCTGATCAGTTCAAGCTTACCTGCACTGCACTTGTTGAGTTGGTCTGATATAATTGATCGGAAGTCGACTAGCTAGCTTCAAACCCTAATCGTGCATCGTTCTTAGTTTTCAGTATGGTCACCTTTGTGTTTGTCTGTAATTATGCTGACGTAAGCCCACTGCTTACGTGGAGCATTGGTGTTTGTCTTTGTTTTTATAAGGCATTGGTGTTTGTTACTCTCAATAAAACTTATGTTCAGTGTGTTTAAATAGCTAACTTAGAAAAGGACTCGGTTAACCAAAAATATTGCTAGAATTTTCCGTATGTATATACACACACTCTAGAAGTTATTGCTGAAAAAGGTTTTAGTAAATGAAAATGTTGGCACTCATCAATGTAGTATTTTATTGCACAATTTGTGGATCCAGCAGTAAATAGTAAAATAATGTAAAGAAAAATTAGGGACTGGAAATAACTTAGAGACTCTCAACATACCTCTCCATTGATGAGGAGTGAGCAGAATTATTCTTGCAGAGCTGAGCAGTGATACTGATGAGGCATAGGCAGGTAACTTCTCTCCGAGGCATGGTCTTGGGAAATGATGCCACATAGAGATTTATATAGTATATGGAGTTTGATTACGCTTCACAAAAATAAAACAGTACTATATATGCTAATGGGGATAGTACATACATGCAATGCAGTACACTTTCAATTTCATTTATAAATAAATAAATAATCTTTTCATTCATGGTCTTGGGAGATACTCAAGTAAAACCTTGTTGGCAAAATGCGAAAGGAAAACCTTTTCACATCTATTAATCAATATTGTTGGCGCGAGAGTAATTAAACACATGAAGACGACCCAAATTCGTGGGAAAGAGGGTTTGAAGAAGGGAAATTAATTGTTTTTCCATATTTGATAATTACATGTATGGAAAATGGTTACATGTCTCCATTAACAATCCGTTCCCTAAATTAAAGGTTAAGTAAAGTAATCTTGTTTCCTAATTTCATAGTCGTGGTCCTTACAATTCTACGAGCACTTGTTCAAAAGTAAAAGGGTTTGGTGTCTCAATTTGGTCGGTCGTCAATTATAATTGCTCTAGAATATCTTCAATTCCTTGTCTCATGCGTGTGATTTAATGTGAATAATAATATTTGATTTGATTTTCCTTCTATCTCAAGCTCTCCCAACAATAACTTCAGTTGACCATCAAGCTGACATAATTCATTCCATATTTGAATTGTAACCTATGAGAAAATCCTCCTACGGATTATCTCTCTCTTTAATTAAGCATTGACTGATTTTTATGCTCTCGCCTGCATATAGGCTTTCGACCACTTTTATGCTCTCAGCCGCATACAGGCTTTCGACTGTATCTACACTTTCGGCCACATACAGGCTTTCAACCACTTTTATGCTCTTAGTCATATTGATGTGTTCGGGCAGATTGGTGTATTCCACCACATGTAGATATTCTGCTACATTTATGATTTTGGGTTTCTATCCAGCCTTAATAATTAGGCCCACCGAAATATAACTTGGGCTCACTATTAGTTTAATTGTCGAATTTCGGGCTTGACCTGGTCAAATTTCAACCAGGCCCAAACAGCATGGTCTTGGGAAATGATGCCACATAGAGATTTATATCGTATATGGAGTTTGATTACGCTTCACAAAAACCAAACAGTACTATATATGCTAATGGGGGTAGGACAATTTAAAGGGATGATACATACATGAAATGCAATACACTTTCAATTTCATTTATAAATAAATAAATAATCTTTTCATTCATGGTCTTGGGAGATACTCAAGTAAAACCTTTTCACATCTAGTAATCAAATATTGTTGGCGCGAGAGTAATTAAACACAAGAAGACGACCCAAATCCAATGAGTTTCCCTTTCCCTCAGTCTCAGTCTTGTTCAAATCCAACACGTGCTTTGCTTCAAATTGATTAAAAACAAACCTGCTCCAGAAAAGTCATTGGGCCTTTTAATTTCTGTCGGCGACTTTGTCCTTCCAATAATAGATGACAAACAGAGTCTACTATTCTAGAACCTCTTTTTTGTTTTGCTTTTTTCGTTTTTTGTTTCTTGTTTTTGGGAAAATAATAAAAGGGAAAAAACCATTTTCTATATTGATCTTGTGAAAGGTAATTAATAATAGTTCGTGGGAAAGAAGGTTTGAAGATGAGAAATTAATTGTTTTCCCCATATTTGATAATTACATGCATGGAAAATGATTACATGTCTCCATTAACAATCCGTTACCTGAACCAAAGATTAAGTAAAGTAATCTTGTTTCCTAATTTGATAGTTGTGGTTCCTACAATTCTACGAGCACTTGTTCAAAAGAAAAAGGATTTGGGGTCAATGTTTTGGTCCCCATAAAAATGGCACGATTCATGGTTGTGATTTTCAGAGTCTCCCACTTGTAGGGGGGACCTCTGCGTCTATTGCCCTGCAGTGCAATACACTGTTTTTTCTATATATCTGACATATCTGAAAATTCTCATGTACTTTATTTTACATACGTATATCATATCTTAACACACATTTTAATTTAGAGATTCTCACTCTCACATCAGATCAGCAAGACTGCAAGCAGCAGAATATAGAGCATGTGTTGCATTGCAATTCACCCGGAGAAAAAGGAAAAAGGTAGATGTGGACATGGAAATGATAGGATGCATGACTCAGCAGAAGCATGGTAAAAAAAAAAAGCGACTCCTTTTTCTTTTTCCTTTTTTCCTTCTTTGTTTGTAGACCTGGCAATATCTTAAACGACCCGTTAACACGACACAAATTCGCACGAAAAAATCAGTATTTGGGTCGAGCTTAATGGGTCGGGTTGAAAACGGGTGGACCCGTTAGTCATCCGTTTGCTTAACGGGTCATGTCAGTATCATTCGCGAATAACCCGTAAACCGGTTAAGAGGAAGGGCAATTTTGTAATTTACCTTCTAAATCCCTAAAATCCCTAGCGCATAGTCTTCGTCTCTCTCTTTTCTCGTCTCTGTCGCTGCTTCACTCACGCACAAATATCCCTTGTTTCACAAAAATCCGAGTCGAATGGGAGCTGGCTTTGTTCTGGTATAAAAATAATAATAATAAGAGATGCCTTTGTGAGATCAGTAGCCACCTCCGACGATGACGAAGCCGAAGATTTTGGGTTGGAGAGTCTGATTTTGCAGCAGCCAAATCTGACGGGGACGTCACCTTTGGTCCAGTATCGCATCAAGATTTGTAGAACTTGGTGTTGACAGAGTCACACCTTGGGCACCTCCAGGTATGCTGGTTCGGATGGTGATGCGGCCTCAGCTCAGCCCACTCAATGAATCACTTTTACTTCAACCAAATAGGAAAATACGAATAAAAAAGAAAAAACGCAAAAAAGAGTGAGGTGGTGGTTGTTGATGCATGAATGATATGATTACGATATAATTGTGAAAGGCATGCAAAAGCTTACCACGTCAAATGAAGCAGTGCCGTGTCTAACTACTAATAACAATAAATAGATAGACACCTCCATCTGTCATTTTCAAATCAAACACCCCCAACCCCAATTTCCATCCCCAGTTCATAATTTCAATCTCAAACACGCACTTCCCTCCCTTCCCCCTTTTTCTTTCAACAAACAACAGAAGAAGAAGGTACAGCAAAGAAAACTGAAACGTCTTGTGATGTAATATGATTAAGATTTTAGGAGAAAGACTTTCTGCAACGGTCCCGGCTCATAACGCGTCATGTCGTGTTATTCGCGAATTTGAACGGGTCGTATTCGGATTTAGTATTTCCCACCCGTTAGCTTAACGGGTCGTGTCGTGTCAACCCGTTAACTTAATGGGTTAACACGAACACGACCCGAAACCCAACCCGTTTGCCAGGTCTATTTGTTTGTGCTCCATCGAGGGAGGGAGGCCCTTCACTTCACGTGATAGTAGCCCTACTTTTACAACCAGCTGGTCTACATTAAAAAAATTTTGTATGAAATGAAGATAACATTGTTTTACTATTTCTGATCAAGCATGATTTGTCGCGCAAAAAGAACGACAAACTGTAATGAAACGGGATAGCAAAAGATGACATACTATAAAGTGCTCCTACTTTTACCATATCAAATATTGCCTGATCAATGATGTTATTACTTGGGCGGTATTTTAAATTCAAGCCTACATGTTTGCATGAAGAAACAAAAAATTAAAACCAGAGCCGTACGTACTGATGCTGCTCCAACCAAACTTCATTGACTTTATATTATATAACTGAATGATTGATCATTATATAATTCACATGTTGTGACTGTTTCGCCTTATCCTCTTGATTTGTTTACAATATAACACAACACATTATATATATTTTTTCCTTTGATTTTTTGATTTTTTGTTTGGGCTATAAGTTGGATAAAAGTATATGCTACAAGATGGACTAAGACTTTATTATATCTTTTTTTTTGTGGTCTTCTTTAAAAATATCGTAGATGGATGCTCTTGTTTTATAAGTATTAAAGTATTATCTGCTAAATGGCCATTATCTTATATGTTACAATGAACGTTTACTTATATTATGTGGAGAGTTATCCTGCTTTGGAATACTAGCTAGATGGACCCTCATGCTTTGTTTTACTGATTAATCTAAGCTGCTTTTGTAAGATCATTTAAACTAGATATGTACGTAACACACTCAAAACTAGCTTACGTGTTGCATTTGTTTGTTCTATGTATTCAGGGAAAATGCTAGTGTGAATCGTACATACGTGGCTGCGTGACAGATTTTCCACCATAACGAGTGCAAAATACTGTTTATAAATAATGCTAGAATCATCAATAATTAATTTTCTCTCGTTTTCTCTATTCCTACAACTCACAATGTCGTCACATTGCGAGCGGGGCATGATGCAGGATAAATTTCTCAGATTGACTGCGACGTTATACAAAAACAAAACAACAAAAAAAGGGAAAGCAAAAAAAAAGGCGCATTCCCACGTTGTGCTAGGCCAGCAAATATGAGATAATACATGTAACAATAGAGTGTGGGCCCATGATTAGGCAAGTGGCCAATGTTATTAAATGACCAGGAGTTATTATATAAACAGGAGCATCGAAGCAGTTAGCAAAAACCAATTAAGCAATGGCTTCTCCTCTGCTACCATCTGTAACCACCTCTATCGCTTCTTTCCGCCCAGCTTTGTTCCCTAGCAAGTCCCAAACCAATTGTTTAGTTGGAAATGGAAGGCATTGGTTTGCAGTAGGTGGATCTAGACTACTCCTACTGCCATGCAAAGCAAAGCATGGTGATCACAACAACCCTAGCAACAAGAACCAAGACGAGGTCACTAGTAGTCGTGAGGGAAAATTTGACAGGAGAGATATGCTGTTTGGTCTAGGAGCTGGAGGGCTGTACGGGGCGGCAGCGGCTGGTCTTGACTTGAACCGGTTCGCCTTGGCCGACCCAATTCCAGCGCCGGACATAAACAAGTGCACCCTGACCACCGAGGACCTAAAGGGACTCGACTGTTGCCCCAAAAAAAGCGATATAATCTACAATTTCCAGCTACCCGCCTCGCCACCAGCAGTGCTACGCACCAGGCCTGCAGCTCATAATGCCGCATACCACCCAGAGTATGTAGCCAAATACAGACTGGCCATTGCGCTCATGAAGGGCCTTGGCGACGACGACCCACGTAACTTCCGGAACCAAGCTAATGTGCATTGCGCCTACTGTGAGGGCTCATATCACTACACTATGCCTACAAAACATGGCATTATAGACGGGATTCTAAAAGAAATACAAGTTCACTCCTCGTGGCTATTCTATCCCTTCCACCGCTGGTACTTGTATTTCTACGAGAGAATCCTTGCCGACCTTATTCAAGACCCAACTTTCGCTTTGCCCTTCTGGAACTGGGACGCTCCGGACGGCATGTACATGCCAGCCATTTTCGAGGACGACCCCGTAATAAACCCTCTCTACGATGCCAACCGAAACGCCAAGCACCGCGTGCCGGGGACGGTTTTAGACCTCAACTACCACGGCAAGGACGGCAATACCAAGGACGACAACACAATAATCAATGATAATCTCCGCACCATGAACTCGAAAATGCTGTCTATTTCAAGCACAGACTGGTGTTCATTCTTCGGTCACCCTTACCGCGCTGGATACCAACCAAACCCCGGTGCTGGCAATATTGAGAGTATCCCTCACAATACCGTCCACAATTGGGCTGGTACGGACTCAAGCTTGCCACCATACACTGGGGAGGACATGGGAGTCTTCTACTCTGCGGGTCGAGATCCCATCTTCTTCGCACACCATGCCAACGTGGACCGCATGTGGTACTTGTGGAAGAACAACTTTGGGGGACAGGACATAGAAGACACTGATTGGTTGGACAGCTCGTTTCTGTTCTACGACGAGAAGCAGCGCCTTGTTCGTGTTACGGTCCGGGATTCCCTGGACACGACCTTGCTTGGGTATGACTACCAATGCGCTGATATTCCTTGGATTGACCCCGCCTACAAGCCCACCCCTCGCTTTCCAGCCAACAAGACAGAACCGCAGGTTTCCTTTGCTGAGCTTTCCACCAAGTTCCCAGCCACCTTGGACTCCACCATCAGTGTTGAAGTGGCCAGGCCGGAGGAGGTCAGAAACCGGAGCGACGTGGAGAAGGCTAAACAAGAGGAGGTGCTGGTGATCCGTGGGATTGAGTTCCCGGCGAATGTGCCCGTCAAGTTTGATGTGTATGTGAATGATGATGCCAGCTCGCCCAGCGGGCCGGACAAGTCCGAGTTTGCCGGTAGCTTTGTTCACGTGCGGCACAGGCACGACCATATTATAAAGACCAAGCTGACGTTAGGGATCACGAGGTTGTTGGAGGACCTGGGAGCCGCAAAGGACGACAGTGTGGTGGTGACCTTGGTGCCAAGGAACGGGGAAGGAAAAATAATCATTGGTGGATTCTCCATTGAGCTTTCTCCTTGCGTCTGACTGATGATATCATGCTTGCAATCTTTGGAAGTGATCGGCGCTGCATGCAATAATTCTGCTGGGATTAATTGCCAACTTTTCTTTTACTTTGTTTGCTTTTGTTTCTGCTTGTGATTTAGTTTCCGTTCCGTCTATGAATTGACCATGCGTCAATCGAGACCACGTACCCCCACTCGATGCTTACGTGGGACGTTCGTCAACAAAACTTATGCATGTTCATGGGTGTGTTTAAAATGATTTCGCCTTTTAATTTCTACTTTTTCCAACAGTAAAACCAATGCATTGCCCGCGGCATATGTCTGCCTGCTGTTGGACTACAATTTTTTGCTGCTATATAAGTTTGCTACATATGATTTGAGTACCAATTAATCATTCATAACTCACGAATATAATTATTTTACAAAATTAGGACTTGAAATTACATTATGAAACTCTATATAAAAATAGTCAGCCCCCCTCTAGAGACTAGCTAGAAATTCTGAAAATTAAACTGGGGAACGAAACAACGTTTGGTCCCTATGGAGAAACAGTAGCATTATTAGTAAAAGGATCCCGAGAAAAACAACAAGAGTACTAGTAACACATTCTCAGGAAGTAGGGTTTGCTTAATTAAAACTATTAATAATCCGATTTAAGTTACCACAAATACCACACACTGTATTATGGATAATAGGATAGAAACCACACATACCACACACTGAATTATGGATAATACGATTTCGACCACACATGCAACATCTCTAAGCCAAGGTGGGATCCACTCTTATATATTTTAAATAAATTATTTGTACATATAAATACAATAACTTTAAATCTCCAATATATAATTACCTCATCACTTTTGATTTAGCAATATTTTTCTTTTCAAAATATAAAACTATATATATGCAATGCAATTCGAATACGTATGTATATGTACATGTATGATTAAGCGGACTGCTGATCATACACGTATGATATGATATTTGTAAATAGTAACCATTACATGTAAAACGTGTTCCTGCCCTGTCAGTATCTTATCTTTGTTATGCATTGGTGCAACTTGCAAGGGTACCATATCACTATTCCCTGCTTAATTTTCTTCTTCTTTAATTTCGAAATGTCAATATCCACTATAAAAGCAGCACACTTGAGTTTCATATACGCAGTGAAGACTTCATTCAAAACCAATTAAGCTTCAGCCATGGCTTCCTCTCCCTTCCCTCCTCTCACTGCAACGATCACTGGCCTTCGCTCCACCACCACCACTTCTCTCTCTTCCTTCCTTACAAACAAGCCCCAAACACCTTCACTACCCCGAAACCCCAAACAATGCCTCACGGGCAGAGTGCGATGCAAAGCAACAAACGGTGGCAATGATCACCTGGAACAGGGTCTATCTAGACTCGACAGGAGGAACATGCTGATTGGTCTAGGAGCCGGAGGTCTGTACGGCGCGACGGGTCTTGAAAACAACCCGTTTGCCTCCGCCGCGCCCATATCCGCCCCTGACTTAACACAGTGCGGCCCGGCTGACAAGCCCGACGGAACCACCATTGACTGTTGCCCACCCACCACCACAACCATTATCGATTTCAAGCTGCCCGACAAGGGCCCACTCCGAACCAGGCTCGCGGCCCAAGATGTAGCGAAAGATCCTGTCTACTTAGCAAAATATAAAAAGGCCATCGCGCTCATGCGAGCCTTACCCGACGACGACCCGCGCAGCTTTACCCAACAAGCCATGGTCCATTGCACCTATTGCGATGACGGGTACCCGCAAGTCGGGTACCCGAATCTGGAGATCCAAGTCCACTTCTGCTGGCTGTTCTTCCCGTTCCACCGATGGTACCTCTACTTCTTCGAGAAGATCATGGGGGAGCTCATCGGCGACCCCACCTTCGCCATCCCTTTCTGGAATTGGGATGCGCCAGTTGGCATGTACCTTCCCGAGATTTTCACCGATACAACTTCCCCCCTCTACGACCAGTACCGAAACGCAGCGCATCAACCTCCAAAGCTCCTGGATCTCAATTATGGGGGGACCGACGATGACGTGGACGACGCCACGCGAATCAAGGAGAATCTGACTACCATGTACCAACAGATGGTGTCCAAGGCCACATCCCACCGCCTCTTCTATGGGGAGCCGTACAGCGCCGGTGACGCCTCAAGCCCTGGAGCTGGAAACATCGAGAATACCCCGCATAACAATATCCATTTATGGACAGGTGACCCAACCCAGAAAAATGGAGAGGATATGGGTGCCTTTTACTCCGCGGGCCGGGATCCCGTGTTTTTCGCGCACCACTCCAACGTGGACCGCATGTGGTCCATTTATAAATCCAAACTGGGCGGTACGGACATTAAAAAAACGGATTGGTTGGACGCGGAGTTCTTGTTCTACGACGAGAAGAAGAATCTTATGCGCGTGAAAGTTCGAGACTCCCTCGATACCACTAAGCTGGGGTACGTTTACGACGACAAAGTGGAGATTCCGTGGCTGACGTATAAGCCGACGGCCCGCAAATCGTCGAACAAGAGAAAGGCTACGGTTTCCTCTGCCGATCTGACGACCAATTTCCCGGCGACGTTGACGGACACAATCAGCGTTGAGGTGGCGAGGACGTCGACGAAGAAGCGGACGAGTGCGCAGAAGAAGGCACAGGATGAGGTGTTGGTGATCAGTGGGATTAAGTATGCCGGGAACGAGACGGTGAAGTTCGATGTGTATGTGAATGATGATGCTGAGTCTTTAGCCGGGAAGGACAAGTCGGAGTTTGCGGGGAGTTTCGTCCATGTGCCTCATAGAGGGAGTAAGGATATAACGACGACTCTGAGGCTGAGCATTACAAAGTTGCTGGAGGAATTGGATGCGGAAACGGACAGTAGCGTGGTGGTGACTTTGGTGCCTAAATTTGGGAGAGTCACCATTGGTGGCTTCAGCACCGAGCTTATTAATACCACCTAAATGAAACGAAATTAAATCAAGTGATGATGATGATGATTTAATTAAGTATTTTCGTGCAGTAAGCGTATGTTTTAGTAGGTCACTTCTCCACTGTAGAGAGAGACCCACGTAACGTAACCCTAGTGCTGCTGAAGTGCGGGGGGGGACCGATGTTTGTTTTTCTGAATAAAACATATATATGTGGTCGTGAGTAAATACGTGCTACCTAGCCTGTCGGCATGCAAGGGCTGTGTATTTCATTTGTGTATTTAGCTGGGCAAAATAATGGATGAATTGAACTTGACATGCATATATTAATTACAAATGCATGTTTTGTACAAAGAATAAAATATGAATCATGAGTACGTTAAACAAATTTATAAAAGAGATATTTAGTCATAATATCCATTCTTAACACTAATAATATAGATAAACTCTACATTATTTAATTTTTATAAACAAACAAACAAAAAAAACCCAAAAAATAACAGCCGGTCCTATTGAATTTAATTTATAAAAACTCTCAACATCTATAAGTCTTTGTTTCTTCTTTCTTTAAATTTAAAGGTTCTTATCAGTTCTAAATACCAACATTGCAAGGAAAGTTACACGCATCATCTTTGCAAAGTCAGTCACATAATCTTTTTTAAACAAATCATCAACAAATACGGTTATTTTTGCAATGTAAAGACTATGGATGCGACGTCATTGTCCCCCCGTATGTTACTAGAAGGGACGGGAGCTTCGCTAATAAGGATTGGTTAATATAAAATCTTTATCAATGGATCCTATATATTTAGTTCGCAAAGAAATGTCACTTTCATTAAGTAAAATTTTAAAAGTGATTAAGAAGGAAAATTTGAACTACAATAGCCTAACATTCTGACCTAATGAATTATAGCTCAAACATTCTGAAATATCTTTGGACTAATACCAATTCATAAGCAAGTTGAAGTTTGAATGGCCAAAACAAATACAGTGGTTCATGTGATAACGATTGGTACGAAAAGTTAATTAATGTACTTTGACCAAATCAAATCAGTGTGTCTTTGTTAGACTTGCTGTGATAAAGGCAGTCGTGGTGACAACACTCAACAAATCTTAATTAATTTACTTTCAGATCCAAAATTAAATTCGGTTTTTTTAATCAATTTTTTATGTGGGGAGTTTTTATTTTTTTTTATTTTTTATTTATGTGTGGAGTTATATACTTGGACTAAAAAAATATGGAAAACATTGGGGAACCAACAAGAGGAGAAGGAAGGTGGGGGTAGAGAAACCCAAAAGCATAAAGTCCTCAACAACATGCATACGCCACCCATATCTATGTAATATAATATTAAACTATTCTCAATTTGATGTCCTCTTACCAGTCCCCTAATTAACCTCTCTTCTTGCCACATTATCATCATCATCATCTCCTTTTTACCAAATCTTTTCTTTTGATGATCTCTAATAGTGCATATCTCTGTCCTTGTCTATTTTCTCACCTCACACATTACATCTCCTGGGAGAAACATATACATGAGTAAATTTACACGCATAAAGAATGCAAAGTACTGTTTATAAATAATGATAGAATCATCAATGATTAATTTTTTCTCGTTTTCTCCATGATTTATGGTTATTAATTCTTCCTACAACTCACAATCTCGTCACATTGTCTCACACACCTAACACATTTTCGAATAATAATAAAACTGCACAATACATTAGAAGGATAAACTTACCTAAGTAGCAACCAACAACAAAAAATGATAAGCGTCCAATTTAATCCTAGTATATACACGTACATACCTCCGCTGGTTTGTTGTCCATTTCTTTCTCATCTATTTGCTCAATGCCTTATACCTTATACAAAGCTATTGCAATACCGGTCAATAATTACGTTCGCAAACATAAAATAATGAATTTTAGAAAAAGAAAACTAGAACAGACAAATGCCAGAAATTCATATCAAATAATAAAAGAAAAAAAAGATTAATTGAGGACAACAAACTCTCCCTTATCATCTTTCTATTGTATATAACCAATTACTTTCCAATATGGGACAATTTCACCTCCGTATTCTCACACGCCGCTGTATGTGTGAGAATTTTGGAAATTTTTACAAACATCCCACAGTCATACACACCAAACCTCACATGCCCTAATCATTAAGCAAAATCATGATCAAGTTTGAACGGACAGAAGCATCAAATTTGTTGGGGGAATGATCACAAAACTAAATAATAGGATGGAAATATAGAGTAAGGCAGAGAGTGTTTGTAAAACAGAGAATTATTCAAATTGATTTCATTAACTTCTTCAATATAACAGCAGCCCATAACATTGGCTATTTATAATTACATTTACACATTTACATAATAAGACACAACTCTTGAATTAATTCCAAGAGATACAGATGCAACTTTTGATATCTAAAAGATACAACTTCTCATATAGTAAAGAGATACAACTCTTCATAAGAAACCTGTAGGAAAAGATACAACTAAGATGCATTACTTTTAACATTCCCCTTAATGCATTTGTCCTGCACACTTAATTTATCTCGGAAGAAATAAAACTTCTCTCTAGAAAGTGCTTTGATGAAAACATATGCAATCTGTATATCAGTGCCACAAAACTTTAATTCAATCTCTTTGTCTTCAATCAATTTTCTGATAAAATGATGACGAAGGCCTGCTATGAAAAACAGGATTCTTTTTCATTGCAATTGTGGACATGTTATCACAATAAATATCAGTTGGTGATTTTTGAATTTGATGAAGATCTGCCAGAATTCTTTGTAACCAAACTGCTTCACATGCTGTACTTGTGGCTGAAATATATTCGGCTTCTTCTGATGATAGTGCCACAGTACTTAGCTTCTTTGATGGCCATGATAAAGCTTTGTTTCCTAAGAAAAACACATGTCTAAAGGTGCTTTTTCTATCATCAATTGCACCTGCCCAGTCACTGTCTGTGTAGTCAACTAACTGTGCTCCCTTCTCTTGTGTATATCTAAACCATATCCCTTGGTTCCTTGTATGTATTTGAGTATTCTTTTTACTGCAACAAAATGGTGATTACTTAGATCACTCATGAATCTAGATACCACACTTGCGGCATGAACAATAAATGGCCTTGTATTTGTAAATAAATTAATGAACCAACCGCACTTCTATATATGGATGCATCAAACTTAGGTGCTCCATCGTTACTTGTAAGCTTCAAATTAATTGCCACTGGAGTATCCATTGGTTTGCTCTTCAACATATTGAATTTTTTCAAAAGATTTTCAGCATACTTCTCTTGAGAAATAAATATCCCCTCATCTGATTGTTGAACCTGTATACCAAGAAAATATATCATAGTGCCCAAATATGTCATCTCATATTCCTTCATTATGTTCTTCTTGAAAACTTCTGCCAACCTTGGATTTGTGCTTGTATAGATCAAATCATCAACATAGAGGCACAAAATCAGAAAATCATGTGCACCTTCTTTCTTAAGATAAAGTGATGGCTCACTTAAGCTTCTTGTAAATCTATTTGCTGAAAATAATGATCAATTTTGTGGTTCCAGGCTCTTGACGCTTGCTTTAAGCTATATAAGGCTTTATGGAGGCGATAAACTTTATCTTCCCTCTCTTTCTCAACATAACCTTGAGGTTACTCCACAAAAACCTCTTCTTCAAGTTCTCCATTTAAAAATGCAAATTTGACATCCATTTGATAAACCTTTGTCTTTAGTTGTGCAGCCAAAGCCACAACAATTCTTATAGTCTCCATTCGAACTACTGCGTCTCATTAAAATCAATTCCTGGTTGTTGAGAATATCCTTTTGCAACCAAGCGAGCCTTATGCTTTTGGATTGAACCATCCAATGATATCTTTTGATTTGGGTCGATCAACAAGTTCCCATGTTCTATTTTTCTTGATAACTCTTATTTCCTCATCCATTGCATCTTGCCAAATATTTTCTTTGACAACATCTTCAAATTTTTGAGGTTCAATAGCACTCAAAACAATTTCATCAGTGGACTCATATAGATTCTCCATTAAACGTATTTTCTCGATTGGCTTTGCGCTTGAAGGTGGTGATCTTTTAGAGGAACTAGAACTGGAGGAACGAGTTCTTGTACTTGATATTGGACTTTGAAGCATCTGAGTTTCTTCTAAATTTGATGAATCTGGTGCCTCAAAAAATATTGGCACTTCAATATCATAATTCTCCCATTTCCAAGCTTTGAGTTAATAAAAAATAGCATCTCTAGAAATTACCAAACTATTGGTTCTTGGATCAATTAATTTGTATGCTTTGGACTGATCACTATATCCCACAAAAATGTATTTCTCACATTTCTCATCAATTTTTTCTCTTTTTTGAGAAGGGATATATGCATATTGTCACGGGATGAGCGAGCGGCGCGGCGCTGCGGAAGCGAAACACACATTTCACCACTCAAAGCACACTAGTGTGGCCTAGGATCCCTTCGGATCCCAGTCAGCCTTCTCCCATTTCATGATATTCATGACTCTCACAACTCCACGAGAGGTTCACCATCAAGTGTCGTCTCCCACTAGACAACGAGTCACACTTTCTTGTGACAACACAATCACTCTGCATTCGGCAACGAACCCTCGACGCCCATACATTAAGCGTTGCATAAGACACGTCAACTGCATCGACCACGTCGCATGCTTAACTCGTGGCTCGCTCATGTCCAAGTCAAGACATAGCGATCCAATATGCCATTGGTTTACCTACACTTATGCCGGTCATTCTTTTAGCGTCCACGATAGCCTACATCCTCAAGCTATACACGCAAGCTGTCATACTTACATGTCGCCCAAGCCTTGGCGACATATGTATTTCGAATGTCCCACATAATCATCTATGCATTGCATGAGGTCACAACCCATGTGTACCGGCATCCGAATATATTCCTTCCATCTTAGCAGGGCTGAACCCAAGCCAAGTTCATCGAGTATTGTCAAATGCCTCGCTAGCCGATGGCATAGTGAATGTCATACGTTGACCTCACTCTTAAAGATCCTACTCGTCATCGAAGACTTATTGAAAGATTAATCTATCTGACAATAACATGACCACAAATCACATATGTAGTAAATACGCTCACTCAGTTTATGCATGAACCCCGGAAGCACCATTTTGACACAGCACGCCGGCTCCTTCACTACCTCAAAGGAGCTCCTGGCCAAGGGTTATTATTCTCTTCGAATGGGCCACTACACTTGACTGCATATTGTGATGCGAACTGGGCACGACGTCCTTTTACAAGGAGCTCAGATATTGGATACTATATTTTTCTTGGTAGGTTACTCATATCATGAAAAAGCAAGAAGGTTACTGTCTCAAGGTTGTCTGCAGAAGCTGAGTACCGCTCCATGGCAGCTACCACTTGTGAACTTTCTTGGTTGCGATACCTCATACTGGACCTACAAGGCCTTTCTTGGGTACGACTACGTACCAGCCCGTTGATATTCCATGGATAGCCCCCACCTACAAGCCCACCCCTCGCTTTCCAGCCAACAAGACAGAACCGCAAGTTTCCTTTGCTGAGCTTTCCACCAAGTTTCCAGCCACCTTGGACTCCACCATCAGTGTTGAAGTGGCTAGGCCGGAGGAGGTCAGAAACCAGAGTGATGCGGAGAAGGCGAAACTAGAGGAGATGCTGGTGATCCGCAGGATTGAGTTCCCAGCGAATGTGCCCGTCAGGTTTGATGTGTATGTGAATGATGATGCGAGCTCGCCCAGCGAGCAGGACAAGTCCGAGTTTGTTGGTAGCTTTGTGCACGTGCGGCACAGGCACGGCCATATTATAAAGACCAAGCTGACGTCAGGGATCACGCAGTTGTTGGAGGACTTGGGAGACGCAAAGGACGGCAGCGTGGTGGTGACCTTGGTGCTAAGGAACGGGGAAGGGAAAATCACAATTGTGGATTCTCCATCGAGCTTTCTTCTTGCCAGTCTGACTGGTGCTTGCAATCTTTGGATGTGATCGGCGCTGCATGCAATTAATTTCCAACTTTTCTTTTACTTTGTTTGCTTTCGTTTCTGCTTGTGATTTAGTTTCCGTTTCGTCTATGAGTTGACCATGCATCAACGGAGACCACGTACCCCTACTCGATGCTTACGTGGGATGTTCGTCAATAAAACTTATGCATGTTCATGGGTGTGTTTAAAATGAATTCGCCTTTTAATTTCTACTTTTTCCAATCTGAGTCTAAGCAATGCATGCCCGCATAAGTTGTCTGCCTGCTGTTGGACCACAATTTTTTGCAGCTATATAAGTTTGCTACATATGATTTGAGTACCAATTAATCATAACTCATGAATATAATTATTCTACAAAATTAGGACTTGAAATTACATTACTCTACGTATGCCTACACATATATATATGAAAATAGTACATGCATGCAATGCAGTACACTTTCAATTTCATTTATAAATAAATAAATAATATTTTCATTCATGGTCCCCCTTGGGAGATACCCAAGTAATTAAACACAAGAAGACGACCCAAATCCAATGAGTTTCCCTTTCCCTCAGTCTCAGTCTTGTTCAAATCCAACACGTGCTTTGCTTCAAATTGATTAAAAACAAACCTGCTCCAGAAAAGTCATTGGGCCTTTATTTGCGTCTATTGCATTGTGCAGTGCAATACACTGTTTTTTCTAGGGAGCTTCTACAATGAGGAGTTAAAGTGAGGAGGTTATTTGAGGAGACCGATCCGACCGTCAAAACATTTAAAATATTTAAGTCCCATGATTTCTTTACATTTGTTGATGGTGAGATTTGACCTCCTCAAATAACCTCCTCACTTTAAGCCCTCATTATAGCCTTTCCGTTTTTTCTATATATCTGACATATCTGAAAATTCGCATGTACTTTATTTTACATACGTATATGTATATCATATCTTAAAACCAGACATTTTTCTATATAGAGCATGTGTTGTGTTGCATTGCAATTCACCAGGAGCAAAAAGAAAAAGGTGGATGTAGACATGGAAATGATAGGATGCATGACTCAGCAAAAGCATGGCCCAAATGAAAAAAGCGACACCTTTTGCTTTTTCTTTTTGTTTTTTTCCTTCTTCGTTTGCTACCGAGTAATATTCTTCGCCCTTTGTCCTTGTCAGAGTGTACATTAATAAGAAAAATTTGTATGAAACGAGGATTAGTATTGTTTTATTATTTTTGTTTGTCATATAAAAAGATGACATACTATAAAGTGCTCCTACTGTTACCATATCAATGATGTTATTGGGCGGTATTTTAAATTGAAGCCTACATGTTTGCATGAAGAAACAAAAAAATAAAACCAGAGCCGTACGTACTGATGCTGCTCCAACCAAACTTCATTAACTTTATATTATATAATACAACAAATATATGAAATATTTAATTATAGCACATGTTTCGACTGTTTCGCCTTATCCTCTTGATTTGTTTACAATATAACACAACACAATATAATTTTGTGTTTTTTGTTTATAAGTTGGATAAAAGTATATACTACAAGATGGACTCAGACTTTATTATATCTTTTTTTTTGGTCTTTTTCAAAAATGTCATAGATGGATGCTCTTGTTTTATAAGTATATATTAATGTATTATCTGCTAAATGGCCATTATCTTATATGTTACAATGTACGTTTATTTATATTATGTGGAGAGTTATCCTGCGTTGGAATACTAGCTAGATGGACCTGCATGCTTTGTTTTACTGATTAATCTAAGCTGCTTTGTAAGATAATTTAAACTATATACCTAATACACTCAAAACTAGGTTACATGTTGCATTTGTTTGTTCTATGTATTCAAGGAAAATGCTAGTGTAAATCGTAAACACGTGGGTGCGTGACAGATTTTCCACCATAACAAGTCCAAAGTACTGTTTATAAATAATGAAACTCAACAATACATTAGAAGGATAAACCTACCTAAGTAGCAACCAAACACACCTAAGATGTTGTGCAATCTATACTATACTCTTTATACAGTCAAAGAGGTGAGAAGATGGTGAGGGGACCGAGGCCATCTCAAGCCTATGAATAGCTATGCCCCTGTAAATGCCTTATACCTTATAGATAGCTATTGCAATACCGGTCAACGATTATGTTCGCAAACATAAATTAACGAATTTTAGAAAAAGAAAACTAGAATAGACAAATGCCAGAAATTCATATCAAATAATAAAAGAAAAAAAAAGATTAATTTCCAGCTACCCGACTCGCCACCCGCAGTGCCACGCACCAGGCCTGCAGCTCATAATGCCTCAAACGACCCAGAGTATGTAGCCAAATACAGACTGGCCATTGCGCTCATGAAGGGCCTTGGCGACGATGACCCACGTAACTTCCGGAACCAAGCTAACGTGCATTGTGCCTACTGTGAGGGCTCATATCACTACACTATGGATAAGAAAGTAGACGGCTTCATAGACGGGATTCCAAAAGAAATACAAGTTCACTCCTCGTGGCTATTCTATCCCTTCCACCGCTGGTACTTGTATTTCTACGAGAGAATCCTTGCCGACCTTATTCAAGACCCAACTTTCGCTTTGCCCTTCTGGAACTGGGACGCTCCTGAGGGCATGTACATGCCAGCCATTTTCGAGGACGATCCCATATTAAACCCTCTCTACGATGCCAACCGGAACGCCAAGCAACGCGTGCTGGGGACGGTTTTGGACCTCAACTATCACGGCACGGACGACAATACCAGTGACGACGACACAATAATCCGAAATAATCTCTTCACCATGCACTCGCAAATGCTGTCTATTTCAAGCACAGACTGGTGCTCATTCTTCGGTCACCCTTACCGCTCTGGATACCAACCAAACCCCGGTGCTGGCAACATTGAATAAACCCCTCACAATACCGTCCACAATTGGACTGGTACGGACTCAAAATTGCCACCATACACTGGCGAGGACATGGGAGTCTTCTACTCTGCGGGTCAAGATCCCATCTTCTTCGCTCACCATGCCAACGTGGACCGCATGTGGTACTTGTGGAAGAACAACTTTGGGGGACAGGACTTAGAAGACACTGATATTCCATGGATTGACCCCACCTACAAGCCCACCCCTCGCTTTCCAGCCAACAAGACAGAACCGCAGGTTTCCTTTGCTGAGCTTTCCACCAAGTTCCCAGCCACTTTGGACTCCACCATCAGTGTTGAAGTGGCCAGGCCGGAGGAGGTCAGAAACCGGAGCGACGTGGAGAAGGCGAAACAAGAGGAGGTGCTGGTGATCCGTGGGATTGAGTTCCCGGCGAATGTGCCCGTCAAGTTTGATGTGTATGTGAATGATGATGCGGGCTCGCCCAGCGGGCCGGACAAGTCCGAGTTTGTCGGTAGCTTTGTGCACGTGCGACACAGGCACGACCATATTATAAAGACCAAGCTGACGTTTGGGATCACGCAGTTGTTGGAGGACTTGGGAGCCGCAAAGGACGGCAGTGTGGTGGTGACCTTGGTGCCAAGGAACGGGGAAGGAAAAATAACCATTGGTGGATTCTCCATCGAGCTTTCTCCTTGCGTCTGACTGATGATATCATGCTTGCAATCTTTGGAAGTGATCGTCGCTGCATGCAATAATTCTGATGGGATTAATTGCCAACTTTTCTTTTACTTTGTTTGCTTCCGTTTCTGCTTGTGATTTAGTTTCCGTTTCGTCTATGAATTGACCATGCGTCAGTCGAGACCACGTACCCCCGCTCGATGCTTACGTGGGATGTTCATCAATAAAACTTATGCATGTTCATGGGTGTGTTTAAAATGATTTCGCCTTTTAATTTCTACTTTTTCCAAGCAGAGTCTAACCAATGCATGCCCACATAAGTTGTCTGCCTGCTGTTGGACCACAATTTTTTGCAGCCATATAAGTTTGCTACATATGATTTGAGTACCAATTAATCATAACTCATGAATATAATTATTTTACAAAATTAGGACTTGAAATTACATTGCTCTACGTACACCTACACACACACACCTATAAACAGGATTAATTTTCTAGCGTATTGAAAAGCCAATTACGTACACATAAAGTTTTTTACCTGATAGCATCCACACACAATCAAACCATCTAGTGTACTATTAACTAGAAATGGTTGGTGCATAAATTAAGCAAATCAAAGCAAGAAAAACAACAGGAGTACTAGTAAAAGGACCACAACACTGCTAATAACACATTCTCTGCTTAATTAAAACCTGTAAAGCATCATATCTTCTCTCTTTCGTACGCTTTTGTTTTATATGTACTGTTTGATGTAACGGGGAGTGGGGTGCATTATTATTTTTCTCTCTTTATTATACATTGGTCACAATGAGCCGTTCAAAACAGTAAAAGTAAAAAGTAAAAAACAATCACCGAATATATTTTAGAACGTGTCTTTTGCGAAAGAAAAGAAATGAAAAAGGAACCTCTTTTGCAAGGGTATCCGCCAATATCTAAATATGGACCCGCCAATATCCACTATAAAAGCAGCATACTTGAGCATCATAATTGCAGTGAACACTTCATTCAAAACCAATTAAGCTTCAGCCATGGCTTCGTCTCCCTTATCTCCTCTAGCTGCAACCATCACTGGCCTTGGCTCCACCACAACCACTTCTCTGTCTTCCTTCCTTCCAAACAAGCCCCATACACCTTCATTGCCCCGAAACCCCAAACAATGCCTCACGGGCAGAGTGCGATGCAAAGCAACAAACGGTGGCGATGATCACCTGGAACAGGGTCTATCTAGATTCGACAGGAGGAACGTGCTGATTGGTCTAGGAGCCGGAGGTCTATACGGCGCGACGGGTCTTGAAAACAACCCGTTTGCCTTTGCCGCGCCCGTATCCGCCCCTGAATTTACCAAATGCGGCCCGGCTGACAAGCCTGACGGGTCCACCATCGATTGTTGCCCACCCACCGCCACAACCATTATCGATTTCAAACTGCCCGACAATGGCCCACTCCGAACCAGGCTTGCAGCCCAAAATGTAGCGAAAGACCCTGTCTATTTGGCAAAATATAAAAAGGCCATCGCGCTCATGCGGGCCTTACCCGACGACGACCCGCGCAGCTTCGCCCAACAAGCCAAGGTTCACTGCTCTTATTGCGATGGCGGGTACCCGCAAGTCGAGTATTCGGATCTGGAGATTCAAGTCCACTTCTGCTGGCTGTTCTACCCGTTCCACCGATGGTACCTCTACTTCTTTGAGAAGATCATGGGGGAGCTCATCGGGGACCCCACCTTCGCCCTCCCCTTCTGGAATTGGGATGCGCCAGCTGGCATGTACATTCCTGAGATTTTCACCGACACCACTTCCTCCCTCTACGACCAGTACCGAAACGCAGCGCATCAGCCTCCGAAGCTCCTGGATCTCAATTATGGTGGGACCGACGATGACGTTGACGACACCACGCGAATCAAGGAGAATCTAACCACTATGTACCAGCAGATGGTCTCAAAGGCCACATCTCACCGGCTCTTCTACGGGGAGCCGTACAGCGCCGGCGACGATGCGAATCCTGGAGCCGGAAACATCGAGAGTATCCCGCATAACAACATCCATTTGTGGACGGGTGATACGACCCAGACCAATGGAGAGGATATGGGTGCCTTTTACTCGGCAGGCCGGGATCCTCTGTTTTATGCGCACCACTCCAACGTGGACCGCATGTGGTCCATTTATAAATCCAAACTGGGCGGTACTGACATAGAAAAAAAGGATTACCTGGACACGGAGTTCTTGTTCTACGACGAGAAGAAGAATCTTGTGCGCGTGAAAGTTCGAGACTCCCTTGACACCACCAAGCTGGGGTACGTTTACGACAACAAAGTGGAGATTCCGTGGCTGACGTATAAGCCGACGGCCCGTAAATCGTCGAACAAGAGAAAGGCGACGGTTTCCTCTGCGGATCTGACAACCAAGTTCCCGGCGACGTTGACGGACACAATCAGCGTTGAGGTGGCGAGGACGTCGACGACAAAGCGGACAAGTGCGCAGAAGAAGGCGCAGGATGAGGTGTTGGTGATCAGTGGGATTAAGTATGCCGGGAACGAGGCGGTGAAGTTCGACGTGTATGTGAATGATGATGCTGAGTCTTTGGCCGGGAAGGACAAGTCGGAGTTTGCGGGGAGTTTCATCCAAGTGCCGCATAAAGGGAATAAGGATATAACGACGACTCTGAGGCTGAGCATTACAAAGTTGCTGGAGGAATTGGATGCGGAAACGGACAGTAGCGTGGTGGTGACTTTGGTGCCTAAAGTTGGGACAATCACCATTGGTGGGGTCAGCACTGAGCTTATTAATACCACCTAAATGAAATTAAATTAAATCAAGTGATGATGATGATGATTTAATTAAGTATTTTCGTGCATTAAGTGTATGTTTTAGTAGGTCACTTCTCCACTGCAGAGAGAGACCCACGTAACGTAACCCTACTGCTGCTTATGTGTGGGGGGGTCGATGTTTGTTGTTCTGAATAAAAACATATGTATATATATATATATATATATGGTCATGAGTGTGTACTTTATGTATAATGAAGAGCAAATACATGCTACCGTACGTGGTGTTGTTTTCATTCCCTGTAGTTGTTTACACAAATAGACATTTCTGATTGTTGAGAAAGGGACAGCGAAGAAAGAGTTAGTTCTGATCTGAAAGCAGAGACGTCTGAACAAATTTCCAAAATTTGTCAGATCATTCATTTCCGATTGTTGTTTTCATTCCCTGTAGATGTTTACCCAAATTTTTGTTTGTTTGCAGTAATTGCTAGGCTGTCGGCATACAAGGGTTGTGTATTTCATTTGTGTATTTAGCTGTGCAAAATAATGGATGAACTGAACTTGACATGCATATATTAATTACAAATGCATGTTTTGTACAAAGAATAAAATACGAATCATATGAGTAAGTTAAACAAATTTATAAAATCAATCAGGATAGGACTCGGATTAATATAAACAACATATGTATGTATGTATGTATGTATGTATGTATGTACCATGAGAGAGAGAGAGAGAGAGAGAGAGAGAGAGAGAGAGAGAGAGAGAGAGAGAGAGAGAGAGAGAGAGTTACCCTTCTTAGGGGAGCTGAGGCTGAGCACTGTGTAAACTTCATCATTCATGCGACTCCTTCACAATTACAAGTAGGACAGTTTCTTGTGATATATGGAGGGAGGGTATTATATATGCTTATGGTGGTAGTAGGACAGTTTTCAAGAGATAGTACATGCAGTACACTTCCCATTTCATTTTAAAATAAATAGTGAAATGTTTCCCACTAAAAGTAATTGAATTGAATAGGTTTTTATGAACATCTTGTCACGGCTAAGAAAAAAGCCAAATGGGCTAACTATGGGTGTCTCTCTAAGAGCATTTCCACCAGTTAGACCCTTGCCATGGCAAGGGGAGCCCTAGGGCAGTTACTATTCACGTGAATAGTGACTGCCCTAGCTCCCCCCAGCAAATGTGTGTTTCCAGCAGTTAGCCCCTTGCCATGGCAAATACTATTCATTTTTTTGTTTTTTTCACAACTTTGTTTATTTAAACAATTAATTTGGATAATATTTTCGGATAAGATTTTTGGGTTCCTACGTGTCAATTCTAGATGAATCGGATAAGATTGTTGGTATTTATAGGAAAAAACATCAGTATTTTTTGGGTATTTTTTCAAATTTTTTCCGATTTTTTTTTCATTTTTTTTCATTTTTTTTTTGCCAGATTGAACAGCTGCCGTTGGATTGCTGGAAGGACTTCATCGGAGCGCCAGCGCATCGCCACGTGGAAGAGAGCCGTTGGGTGCAACTTCTGATTTTTTTTTCATTTTTTTATTCGCGAAAAATGAGAAGCGTTGGATTTTGAACAACTTTGATCGGACAGCTTCAATGCACGCCACGTGGAATAGATCCGTTGGCGGGGCACTGTAGCGGGCGCGTCAAATTTTTTTTAATGTTGGCGCGTGCAACGCACGCGCCAACGTTAAAAAATTTAAACAGCTGCGCTGACGTCACCCAAAACTCGTTTTGCTCCTCGGGCTGGACCTGCCCGAGGGCTAGCCCAGGCAATTTTTTTTTTCTGGGGCCCACACCTTGCCCTGGCAGCTTTGGCTTGCTGGAAACATGATTTTCCCCCAGCCCCCCCCAGCCCTCCCCCCAGCCTGCTTGCTGGAAATGCTCTAAAGAGGCCCAATTAGCAACCCCGGCAGCGGCAGCCTTTATATATAGATTTTCCAGTGAAGTGTTCAATTAAAAAAGCAAATACTTTTTCCTTTCTTCTTCGTTAAGCCTTTTTGACTTTAGCATGATCAAAGCCTTTCGGGGTTGTTTTTGGGGCAAGGACTAATAATAGTTAAATAGCTTTCTATAAGTCTTTGTTTCTTCTTTCTTTATATTTCAAGGTTTTTATCAGTTCCAAATTCCAACTTGGCAAGGAAACTTACACACATCATCTTTGCAAAGTCAGACACATAATCTTTTTATAAAAAATAATCAACAAATACTATTATTTTTGCAATGTAAAGACTACGGATGCGATTTCATTGTCC